ATGAAGAAATAAGAAGAATGCCTAAAATTACCCAGTAGTAATAACAATGGATGAAATATGGGAATTGTTTCTTTTTGGCTATCAGTTACAATATAGTTAAATTCAATACACACTCATTGAGTTTAAAACACATGGGCTGCTTAAAAAACTCATTTTGCCCCTGAACTGAGGATGTTGATGGTATTTGTTAACTAAAAACATGGACAAGGCCAAGCAACCTTCCCTAAAACGTAGGGAGACAAAGTCAACTTTTGCCTTGAGTGGGGAAGGAAAGAGCAATCGCTATTGTATTCTCAGATAACAGACAAGAACTCAACCCAACAAACACACATTTCATGGTATAAGGCAGGATTCTGGGTGCTAGGGAGGATGATACGAGGATTAAAACAAATGTGTGATTCTTTATGTTTGCTAAATGGATCAGGAGAAAGTAAATATGTATACAAAGCCTGTGGACAGGGCTGAGCATGCTGAGGGCATATGCGCGCGCGTGTGTGTGTGTGTGTGTGTGTGTGTGTGTGTATGTTTGGTATGGAATCACTGATCTGCCCCATGCTTCCATGTAAGTGGTGCTGTGTGCAGAGGGAAGGAGAGCACAGAGCAGGCTCCTCAAGTGTCTTCTTTGCAAGCACCGAACCCTTTCCCTGGTAGCGGGATCCGAGCCCCAGCACCCACACAGGCCGGAGCCTGGGCACCAGAGGTTCTTCCTGTTCATTTCTAGAGACTAACGCGCTTTCTAGGTGAAGCATATGTTTTTCAAGCCCAAACATCAGCTTCGGAATTAGATTTAAACGTTGACACTTTTGGAAGCAGGAGCATCCAGTCACTATCTACCGAACGCTTCCCCGGCAACAGAAGCTACTGAGCTTGGGCGTGGCTGACAGTACAGATTCGTTTCCCACCTGAAAATCGGTTACAAACAAGACCTTTGAAAAGAATTGAGATGATAACATACATTTTACAGTCATCAGATATTACTGCAGATTTGAAGACTGAATTAAACCCAGGGGAAACTAATTGCTTTGCTTTGTTAAAAGCGCTCCTTACAGCGCTCTCCTTTCAGGTGTGGCATGACTTTGAGACTGTCCACGGAGCCTTCTTTTGGCCTTTGACTCATCAAACCCAGGCTCTACAGAGACCAGAACCTTCTGTCCCAGACCTTTTCTTAACAGAAAAGATAAACACAAGAGGCTCAAGAGCAGGTGCTCAAAAACGGGGCCTGGGACAGGAGTCTACATATCGAAGGCCCGAGAAAGGGTGGGAGTCTTCACCTTCTAATCCGGACACCAAAGAATCCTCTAACTAACCAATGCACAACCCTCAACCCAGAACCCACAATACCAACGTGCGAGGAGAGTGCAGGAAGGAGTTCCCACACGGCTTCACATGGACTGGGGACTGTGCTCACGACACCCTCACAGGTCCCTGTCTCACCGAGGACAAGAGGAGGGCGCCTGCTACTTTGCAACCCTGGTCCCTGAGGGAGTGGTAGGGCTGGCAACCCCAACGCCTGTGAAATGGGGTCACTTACCACCAGGCAGAAAGAGAAAACTCAACAGCAGCTTACGCCTTATTTTTATTTAGACTTATATCCATCTTGATGAAATATTTTCCTTTAATTGTGGAAAAACCTAGCAGGAGAACTGACCGACGCAAGCTAAACTGAAACGTTATTGTATACACAAGGCCTGTCCTCACTCTGTTTGCAGATTGCCTCCCCATAAAAATCCAACAGAAAGAACTCTTTCTCCATTCAGTCAGAAAGAGTCATACGTTACTAATGGAGCTGAAAAAACCCTCCAGTTCCTGACTGTCATTCATAAAAAATTATTTCCATCTAAGCATCATCGTGTTGCACACAGAGACCTTTTGGTAAGACGATATGCTAGTCAGACTTAGAAACAGGAAAGCCAGAAGTACACCAAGTCTACGCCCTTCTCTGATGGGGAACTACCATTTCCTTTGATAATTATGTCCCCCTGTCAGTCATGTTCCTTACCTTGTCAAACATATTTATTAGTACCCCAAGTCCAAAATTTCCCCTTCGTATCTTTTCCCTGGAGTGGCAACAAAATTAAACTGTGATTGCTTTTATGAATAACTGTCACTGACAAGATGACCAATGACTTTTACAATGAAAACAGCTGACTTTATTTCATAAAGTACAATTAAGATGTTTTTAAAATCATATCCCAAATTTCCTAAAGACTATCCTAATAACCATTTTAAGTGCATGGCCATTCCTTGATAACACAAGGTCGGGTACCGGAAGGCCCTCACATTGTGTATTTCATTGTTCAGAACCTTTCATAAGCCAACGCTGTGAACAAACCAAACTACACAGAGGGACTAGCTGGAGAAACGTTCAGATTGTAAAAGAAAATGAGGCCAAATGTCAACAATAAATTCAGACATCACACTTGAAGCTAACAGATAGTTAACCTCCTTGAAGTTACTTGTACTCTCCATCTTAAAAGCTAAAAATGTGTAATTTAAATATTCCTCTCCTCTACCATAGCATTGCTAACTGGAGTGTGAAATCAAGCATTACCACATCGTTTCTGCCTGATGAGATAATTTTGGTTTTCTTAGGAGGATTATGCCAATGCACTTATTTTTGCCAGAAAATAATTTTACTTTTTATTTCGCAAGAAACTAATATTTGCAATGACCAATTCCAGTTGTGTTGACTTGCAAAACCATACGATGAAAGATTGAAATAAGTATAAGAACCAATTTATTTTTATAGAATATTACTCAAGTTTAGAGCAAGAAAACAATTTCCAAAGACAGAGGCTAGCCCTAACTGGTTTGGCCCAGTGGATAGAGCGTTGGCCTGCAGACTGAAGGGTCCCGGGTTCAATTCCGGTCAAGGGCATGTACCTTGGTTGCGGGCACATCCCCAGTAGGGAGTGTGCAGGAGGCAGCTGATCGATGTTTTTCTCTCATCGATGTTTCTAACTCTCTATCCCTCTCCCTTCCTCTCTGTAAGAAATCAATAAAATATATTTTTTAAAAAGACAGAGGTTAAATGTATCTTTTATACTCTCGCTGATACCTTTATAGTTTTCTCAAGTAAAATGACTTAAAGTCAACTTCTGTAAAGTTATAAGCTTAAATAATTTTTCCATTATTGTTTTCATATTTGGTTGAATCATATCTTCCTTCTCTTTTCTCCTTTACTTCTCATAAAAAAAAAAACAGTCCTCATGCCAAGAATAGAATCTGATATTTGAATAACTGTGTAGACCCCCTAGTTATTTTTTTTTAATTGGGTTTATGGAAAAACTATATTCTTTCCATCCCTAACGCAGAACTTTTAATATATAGATTTATTTTAGACACTCTTTATATGCAGTTTAGTATGAATAATGTCAATAAACAATAATCGAGCTATAGTAAATCAAAACTAAGTTTGGAAGTTTATATTATACCAAGTTTGCCCAACTTCTCACTTTTCACCACATAGTTTCGGCACGGTACAGACAAGTGATGGCATTTTTTTAAAGACAGTAGAGTTCAAAAACAATAGCAAATTACTGCTAATTTCTTCTTGATGGATGCTATTAACACCTATTAACATCAATAAGGTTGTTTCCAGCACAAGATATCAGTCTAATCTATATCATTTAGAAACAAATGAAAACTTTGGAAAGGAATTTGAACATACCAGTAAAATATAACATTTTTGTGTGCTGTTCTTTGATGAAGTGAATCACAACCATAAATCAGAAACAGCTTTTGAAAATAAGTATGACTATCAAGCTTTTCGAAAGGCAATTCTAAACGTGTCACTCACTCGAAACATTTCCACCTTACAAAGTACTAATCCCTTACATGCCATTTCCTTAAGGAAAGCGGACACTTTCAAAGGGAAGAACCTTTTGTCTTTTACCCTAAGCATAAAAAGAGATATTTCAGTAAGGAATGGAAGAAAATGAAGCGCATTTAAATAATCTCTTTGTGCTGGAAGTTGCCAATTCGTCTGTGAGCAGTTTCACTGCAGATGAAAAGAAATCAAAATACAGGGCAGATGTTGAACAAACCGCATTTTCGTTCTGTCACACACCGGCATTTTTCAAATGATTTTGGCTCATCTATTAAATAAGGTGCGTTTTGCTTGATTTTGAAAAGGGAAACATCAGGAAATATTTAAAGGCCAATTGCTGCCAATTAACTTCGATCCGTAAAAGTTCTACTTGAATCTTTCAGATTCTCCTCCTGTCTGAAATAACACACATTTATAAAATCTAGCAAAACAACAACTTGATGACTAATGGCTGTTAGCAGCTCTACCACAAGCTCGCTTAACAGCAGGATTTAAATAAACAACTGTCTCTATTAAGAAGGGAGTGCAATGTAGTTATAGTCACGTTGTCTGAGAATGGAGATATGAAAAACAATATTCTTTATTCTTAAGAATGCTGCTCATCGAGACCATCACGTTTGTCACTGCCCATCACGCCTTCAATGAGCCATCTGACACGTTTCCCCCCAAATGATGATGGACAAATAAAATCATCAGCAGTTTCACATGAGAAATCCTAGTGCCCCAACAGCAGAGGCCCAACTGAAATGTCATGCAAACGACAGGGCCAGTGAAAAAGGAAAGCACCCAAGGCAAGACAGTGACAGCCTGACATGAAGCGCATATGCAAGTATCACAAGCTCTGTTGGGTTCTAAAGGCAATTCATCTCGATGGTGACGATGTAACCGAGAAATCTGTAGTTTCTGCTAATCAACACAACTTAATATTTAAGATCTTTGACCTCAAATTTTCATCCTTATCAATGGTTATGTGGCAATCTAATTTTGAAACACAACAGTCCAAGTAAAGCATAACAAATACCATGAAGGCAAAATGCATTACTATATACTTGGCGATTACTTTGCCTCATTATCCCAATTATATATTCAAAAATAATATCCCCTTATTGTAAGACCAATCATCCATTTTCAAGCATACAACATGAAGTTTATATAAAATAACTGAACTTACTTCTAAGTCATTAAAAAATAGATGTGTGTCTGCCAAGTTGAAAATCATTTCTTCCATTCGCAGTCCAAGGGAAACTGAAGTAGGTGGATCCTAAAAGAAGAAATTTTACAGGTCAAGAACATGTATTCTGCAGGTTACATGAACTATATTGTCACATTAAGAGGGAGTGAGTGTA